CTTGAATCCTGAACGTAGTTCCATAAAACAAGGGACTTACCTTCGTATCCACCTGTATTTTCAAATAAACAACAATAATTTGCGCCAAATTGTTTGAAAGTTACCAGCAATTCTGATCGCCTCTTTGAAATATTTATTTCTACCGTAGCGCTCAACTACTACCCTTTAAATCAATAATAAAATGTCCACAAATTACTTCAAAACCGCAATAAAAATTTTAAATCCGTTCCTTGATACGCCCCTGTATGGTGTTTATATAAATCGCGTCTTAACTGCTGACAAACAAATTCCTAATCTTCCGCGACCTAGTACAACAATAACACGTTACCTCCGGGATCAAAAACCGCTATCAAAACAAACGTACGTATTAAACATGAGATTCTTTCAGGGCGCTAATTCGAGCTCCACTTTTGGGCGACATTATGTGGCGGTGCTTTCTTTTTACGGATAAACACAACCACCTCAGGTACACGTACCCGCTTCTCCCTTCTCTCCTCTCTCACCTCATCAACCCTTTGGGATAGCTTATCTCACCAAAATTCGCTAATTCTTAATAAAATCACAAAATCTTTACCTCGCTTCCGACTAGCTCAAATACTTACATACAAAATTTCTACTGTCTTACTTCCATCGAAAAATCAGGTATCTAATTCACTTTTTACTGGTGTTAATTACCTACTCTACTTCTCATCTAACTTCTCGTTGAAAAAATCATCAACTCAATGGCCATAATTTCATTCATTTATTTTAATGCAAAATCCAATGCATTCCAGAAAATTGCGATCTTTACAATCAATATTATAAAAATTGGGAAATATGACTAAAACCTTATTAAGCTATCAAAAAATTTGAATATTATTAGTTCTGTTGGCCAACTCACAATATGTTCTTTCCCTTGAAGAGGTGAATATTATTTTTTATACTGAATTTTCCTTGACACAAATTCCACTATTTCAAATATAATTAATTACCTTCTTTAAGGAAATTGATTCAATAAACAATCGATTAAAACATATCATAAAACATATAAATACACACAAATTGACTTTATTTTTATTACAATGAAAATATTCAAAATAGACTAACCTTTAAAAATCCAGGACTTCGATGAAGATTGGGAAGCCCTTTACATGCTAGTTGATTGATGGATGGGGTAGACTGCAACTTTTGGAATGCCAACTTTACGTCGTCGATTGTTTTTTTTTTTTATATAGCTGATGATTACAGTTGAAAAATCCTTGGCTCGCTGTTGAGTAGGTTATTTTCCTTGTAGAAGGTAGACGAGATTTTCCAAAAACATGTAGTTTTGTAGGTATAATCCCACAGTGAAATTTTATTGATGTAAACACCTTATTTTGCGTAAGTTCGTGAATTAATTTGCCTGATTTTTGGTCGATTTAAAGAAGTTTTTTCATAACAAACTATTACATTGAACTTTTAAAGCACATTACTTTGATGAAAACGGCTATCCACACTTAAAAAACTTTGATGGTTATATTCCAAGGAGGCACAATAGTAAATTTTAACACAACGGCAAATGGGTGAAACGTTCAAATTTGTTCCGTCGGATAGATGCCAAAAATGCGCTCGTATTATTTTCCTTTAAGAACAATGGTTCATATCACACAGCTATTATCGCTCGAATTTACTTAGCGCTTTATATTTGATACGTAATGTCCACGTCTAATTTTAATTTCAACACTATGTGGATGATTTCCTAGCACAATACGCTTGACAAATTTTTAACTAAGATTCCGCGATTTACTTTTTCTCTTCGGGCGTGAAATTTACCCAATGGAAATTTCACGTTTTAACTAATGGTGCAAAACTGTACTTAAACTCGGACTAATATCGACCGTCACTTAAACGGAATCACTTATTTGGTGCTTAATGCACGCGATTGAAAATTTACGATCTCTTCGGCCCGGCTATGCAGTACCAATCTTTTTTAAAAATTTTTTCCTCTTAACTCTCTCCTAACATATTCACGCCCCTTAATCGTTGCAAAATGGCTGATCTTTTTTATTACTGGTACTTCTCATACAATGGCCTCCATCTAAACCAATTAACTGGGGAATACTTATCAACTAATTTTTTCAGCGTTTGCAGAACCAGCTTTCCCAAGCTTGGCTGGTGACTCAATGATAAAAAACTTATCTAAAGAAATCCGATATTTATTCGTTATCTGCATCCTGTTTTGCACTGAGAATTTTCTGTGATCCCATTTATTGCGAATCGCGGCACAAGGAAGTTTAATACAATGAACCCAACATGATGTCATACTACAATAGTTACAAAGCGAAAAAAGTTTTATCCCCAAAAGGAAGAAAGGTTTATCCAATTTTAGTACAAATCCAAATCGATATCCGAAAAATTTGCAAAATTTCGACCGGCCATTACTTTACCCGTTACAATATTTACATACATTTTATAAATATTTACAGAAAATTTTGTTGGAATCATTACTAGTACAATATTTACGTAATATTGTAATAACGTTTAATTATTAAATATTGGTTCATAAATGGCATAGTAACATTTTGACGATATTTTGTGCTATGTGGGACAGTACCTAAGTGTCTCACTTTATTCGTTTGTGTATGAAAGCATGCATTTTTAGTAGAAAATTTACGTGAACAGAACTAATTATAAGTGTAGACTGTTCTTTCTAATTAGAATAAACAAAAGCTTATGTGGAGTTTGTTTAGCTAACAATTGCGTTATAAGCTCCCAACAATCCATCCACAAGTTTACCTTGGAATTTAATTTCCGCAGTCTCGCGTTAACGTTCAAAAATCTTGTTGCGTGTTATTATTGTAACGTAGTACTTAAAAACGAAACAGAAAACATTGCAGTAGGTACAGTATATAAATCTGTTCTCGCTGCCATTGTATACCAATTAGTTTAAGTGCCGCTATTAATTCGCTGTAGTTAGTAAACACATAAAGGGAATACAAGTTAGTTTGCCTACATTGGTTCAAACGCGTAGGGTGCAGAAAGTTAAATTTGATTGGGCGTGGTTATGTGCGTAATAAATTATTCCTGGCAGAAACTAATTTTATGGCTACATTCGGCAACTACGCACACAAATGAAAACCGAATTTTGTACCACGAATTTTCTGTCGTACTTTTATTAAGATAAACATGCGGTAAACGAATTTTTTTATGAATTGAAAACTTCGCAATCGATATTGTTACTGTGGAAACTCAGAGCTGTTTACTTTACATTCACAAATAGAAGACAATGGTTTTGATTACTTTTTTTTAATTAAACCGTATACACGTAGGTATTTATGACGGCAAGTTTATTTGCGGGTGAGATTTCCGCGTGAAAATTTACAATTCGTTTACGGAATAACGAGCTGTGTGCAGTTCGGAGTAGTCCAAGTACCATTAGAATTTTAATTAAGTTTCATATCTTTATTATTTATTTCGAAAAGCTTTTATTCTATTTGCTCTACTAATTGAAATGTAAATTGACTCAATACCTCTTAGATGTTCCAAGCTTCCTAGGAAAACAGTTTCTCTTAATTTATCTTTACTTCGTTGTGATGTGCGCTATTATCGATTTGACTCCAATATCTCTATGAGTATGGTAAAGTATCTCATAGGATATGAATAGGATCTCCATAGTGAGCGGTTATTTACCATAGACGGCAATTTGCCAGGATTTAATGGAGAAAGAAAAATGCATAAAATGGAATTTGATTGACAGTTAGAATTCTATCAAAGAAGAAATAAGCCATTCAAAGAAGTCTAAAAACCCAAAAATACCCGGGTATTTGATTTTCAGCAGGCACTTCCACTCCCAGAGGCATTTTATTTAACCTAGATACTTCCAAAAACTATGTTTTTGTGAAACTGACTTTGTTTCTTAATGTGACCTAAGATCAATATTATAAAAAAAAATGGAAAAAAGGTGTTTTTTTGGAAATGGGTGTTCTTTTAAAGGAACAGTGGAATAATCAACTTCTACTAGCTATGAAAAGTAATGGTAGATAGATTAATGTTGTATTTTTTTTGTATTAAGTTTACTGAATAATTATAAAATGTTGCCATAGAAATAAGGTTTTTAGAAAAAATATAAAGACCGTCATAATAAAATTTAATTTAAAAAGCTCTTGTCAAATTGTTCTTCGACCCGGACAATATAATCATAACACATTAGGTAAGAGTCAATAACAATATATTTAAAATAATACAAAATACACATAATATATACATTAAACATATTTTTCGTAAATTATTTGTATGACTATAAGTATTTTATTAATAAGAATGAGAAATAAGAAATTCAAACTAATACAGTTCATAAAATAATGAAGTCTTAACTCCAACTCCTTTACAATACGTTGGGTTGTGCGTATTCCATCCTTTCCCAGGACCACTCTTGCTGCATCAACAAGGCAGCAAGAACACCGGAGCCCCCGATGAGATCACGCCGTCCTCCAGCATTCATATTGCTTACATGATATGTAACGAAACAATTTGTAGGATATAATGCATTAAGCATTTTTGGCACATAAATTTGAAATTTTCCCCCGATTGATGTTGTATATAGGCTTAAATTTTAATCACCCATATCTACTCCACCCATGTGCTCATTCTATTTCTTTATAATGAATGACTGTGGTACCATAATGTTTTTCTTCTCTTTCTAGGAAAATTTTTTATTGGTAAAGTAAGGTCAATCTTGACCTCTTCTATTTCCTCGGATTGGACCAGTTCCGTGGAATCTCATAGACTGTAATTCCACAAGGGAATGGGACAATTCGCCATCGCCAATTCGCCTTCGCCGATTAGCCGTCGCCCATTCGCCGTCGGGACAATTGGTTTTTTTTTTTTTTTTTTTAAGGACCCTACATAACTTCACCAGACACAGACACAGACACTAATCGTTACTTGATTTTAATCCGTGCGATTAGTTAACCAGGCTAGACCTGAGTTCTCACAAGAAACACCGACCATAATAATAATAACATACCTGTTCATACGCCCAACATAACTATCTTCAAACCAATCGAGAAGCGGTTGAAGGTTTCCTGGTAATGCGTTTGACACCACTTCAATTGCGTCATCCAAACGTGCGGGGGGTACAAAGGCTAATGACGTCACCATTCTGGCATTCAGTGCAAATTGCGGATCATTATTGTATTCCCGTGTCACTCCCATTTCCCCCAATTTTTTTTTTCATATTTTGAGCCATATGAAAAAAACATCCGTAAATATTTACGTTTGGGAATGATGTTTTCATGGCGGTAAATGCAGCATGCTCAAAATCGCAATTGATTGCTAAAGGGTTTAAATTCGGAAGCAACTCTTTCAATAACTCGAACATCCGCTGGTAAGTTCCTCGCATTTTGTTGGGTAACAACGCATAGCATATTGGATGGACACCATTATTTATGACTCCCATCAAAGTGTACACTTGTGAAAATAAGGGAGGAGCTATAGAAAATGTTCCATCTGCGTACCATACTGAGGAAGTTTCTAAATATGGAAGCCAGGTCTGCCTTCCAAAAATTAAAATTCTTTCTGCTCCATCTTGGTTGTCTGCCAAAAGAAAGTTTTCCGTAACATTGACTCGTAGTTTGTACGTTTTGTAATCATCTGGTAATAATAAATCTGCTAGAGTCAAAGGATTTGGTGGTGCAGCGTTAACTTCATTACGTTTACGTCTTACTAATTTCCTTAAACTACAAGTATTTGGAAGAACAGCTTGAGCAGCTTGCGTTGTATTAACCATACACTCATTAATCACCTAAAAATAAAAAAAAGGGCACTGTTAAGGTATAGGAATGAAGCGCATAAAGAAAGATAAAACGCCAAGCAACGCGAGGCTAGTTTTTTTGGTACAATTATATAGCTTGCAAAAAATACACTCAAATTTGTTATTGATAATACGACGTTTGGAAATATAAAGTACGAGTAATTACCTGAATCGTCCCTTCAATTGTCTCCACAGCACGTTTTTTCACTTTAGTGACGACTTGTGCCACTTCCACGCTAACCGCTGAAGAATCATGACAATGGTCGTTAATTTTCTTAAGAACTTCTCCGTTTCTGGTATGGACTCGCGCTTTACACTCTTTTCTCTTCTCGCATCTCCAAAACTTTATACTGTTGTCACTTTTACTAAATGTATCAAAGACATAAATAAATCCATTTTCCGTAAATTTCTGTTTCCCTTTTTCAGATAAAATTTCCACGTCCATTCTTTAATTCCTGCCTACTTACAGCCACTATAGATAGATACTGAATTTTACTTACCTACATATTTTTGTATATTTATACCGATATAAGAATAGTTGAATGGAACAATAAACCAGATTTACGCTAATGACAGGGAGATTAGGATAATAATACAAGTTGTTCATTCATACAAAATCTGTTTATGGTTAATTGCGCTAGACCAAAGGACACCCTCATTAACATTCTTGAAATATAATAGAACAATAAAAGGTATACAGTACTGCGAATCCGGCCTACGACGCATTTCACAAATGGCTAATACACAATATTCTAATCGGCGACGGCGAATTGGCCATGGCGAATTGTGCTAACGACGAATTTGGTTAAGACCAATTGTCCCGACGGCGAATGGGCGACGGTAAATCGGCTAAGGCGAATTGGCGACGACGGATTGGCGACGGCGAAGTGTCCTAGACTCTTCCACAACGGGGGTACTGAAAAAATGGAATGCCTGTTCCGCTTGCCATTTTTATTATTTTTGAAAGTGAATCCGTAATTTCATTTACGCTATAATTCACCGTATTCACTAAAATTGTTTTCTCCCATAATGTCAATGACTTTCACTGGATAATGCAGGATTCTGCATTATTAAATTCAATCGTTATACCATAAAAGTTCGACAACAATAGCGAGTTTGCGGATGTAGATTTTACGTTATAAAACTTGTCGTTATAACGTAAAAAAGCTTAAGAATTATACGGTATAAAAACACTTTTATACCTTATGTTTATAAATAACGTAAACCAATCAAGTTCCACCTGTTATAGTTCCTTCAATCTGTTTTAGGATAACCTAATCGTTGGAGCAACATGCATAACCCTTCACTACCTAAGAAGAGCGGTAAATGACGTACTTTTTAGGTATTACCATTCACAATGTGCTGGTCACATGTTTCAAACCTGTTGGGTAATTGCAAAGCTGAGTACAAATGTTGTATGTCATTTTTCTCAAATCGGAATAGGAAACTAAAAATTATCTAAGGGAATGGAATCAAAATTAGACTTATTTATGGAATAAAGTTTTTTCCTCTCTGCAATTGCTCTTTCTAAAGTCTCATATAGAATAGCACTCCCAATATCATCATCTTCTAACAAAAGTATTTCATTTTCCGACAGCTTCGCCATTCTCACAACATAGAAAGTGTAAGGTTAGGAAATCTTTAAAATCATAAACAACAATAAACTTTCCGCAAGAAAAAATGGCCGTCTAACGTAACGGAAAATACGTGTCCGCAAACTCGCTAATAACTACAATATTCAAGTCGTTCAATGAACTAATAAAAATTAATTTTAACTTCCAGAATACTAAACTAAATTGTTAATTATGAGTAGTTAAACATATTACGGAGGATGATTATTCTGGTCATTGTAACAACTTTTCCTATGTTGTCCATTTTTCTCTTGAAGACCCAGCCAACGCCTTAGTGGCTCCTTGATCTGTGTGCAGGAGCCTTAGGGTTCACCACATTTATTTTTGGTAATGAGATTCGCCATGCCTCTCGAGAGATGCTACTTGTTAGTAGCCGTTGATGATCACATACACCAACTCGAATTCCACCAAATCTGAATCCACCTGCAACAAATGTTTGCCTATACAATTCAAAGCTGTTTTTGATTATATTAGAATGACAATACTCACGGTTATTATAACTTTCCCATGGTGCCCATTTTTCTCTTGGAGGTCGTGGCCCCAGCCACCGTATCAGTGGCGCTTTGATCTGTCTATCGGGCTTGCCCAGGAGCTTTAATGTATATTTTTGGTATCGAGACGAACTCCGGTGATGATTCCCTCCACCAATTCAAATTCTATCAAATCCGAATCCACCTGCAACAAATGTTTGCCTATACAATTCAAAGCTGTTTTTGATTATATTAGAATGACAATACTCACGGTTATTATAACTTTCCCATGGTGCCCATTTTTCTCTTGGAGGTCGTGGCCCCAGCCACCGTATCAGTGGCGCTTTGATCTGTCTATCGGGCTTGCCCAGGAGCTTTAATGTATATTTTTGGTATCGAGACGAACTCCGGTGATGATTCCCTCCACCAATTCAAATTCTACCAAATCCGAATCCACCTGCAACAAATGTTTGCCTATACAATTCAAAGCTGTTTTTGATTATATTAGAATGACAATACTCACGGTTATTATAACTTTCCCATGGTGCCCATTTTTCTTTTGGAGGTCGTGGCCCCAGCCACGGTATCAGTGGCGCTTTGAGATAATCCACCTGCAACAAATGTTTGCCTATACAATTCAAAGCTGTTTTTGATTATATTAGAATGACAATACTCACGGTTATTATAACTTTCCCATGGTGCCCATTTTTCTCTTGGAGGTCGTGGCCCCAGCCACCGTATCAGTGGCGCTTTGATCTGTCTATCGGGCTTGCCCAGGAGCTTTAATGTATATTTTTGGTATCGAGACGAACTCCGGTGATGATTCCCTCCACCAATTCAAATTCTACCAAATCCGAATCCACCTGCAACAAATGTTTGCCTATACAATTCAAAGCTGTTTTTGATTATATTAGAATGACAATACTCACGGTTATTATAACAACTTTCCCATGGTGCTCATTTTTCTCTTGGGAGGTCGTGGCCCTAGCTACCGTATCAGTGGCGCTTTGATCTGTCTATCGGGTTTGCCCAGGAGCCTTAATGTATATTTTTGGTATTGAGACGAACTCTCCATACCTCTCGAAACATGCTACCTCGTAGTAGCCGGTGGCGATGATCCTCTCCACTTATTCAAATTCCACCAAATCTGAATCCACCTGCAACAAAGTTTTCGCTTTACACGCCGTTGTTTTCGCGTGGGGTAAAATTTCGTTTTATTTTTTTAACTGTTAGAAAAGGTCATTTGGGTTGTTTTGAATGTGGTTAGAAAATTCGAAAACGCGAGAAAAAATTTGATTTGGCTAAAATGTCCAAAATCTTGAAGCTCCTTTTTTGAAGTAATTTTTTCACTGCATAGCACCTACCGCTTTCGAGAGCTACTCATCTGACAATGAGTTCTCTAGCTCCCTCAACTACAGCTTATTACCTCTACTGCGCCTTTATTCCCCTTTTTTACATTGTCCCTATGCTGATTATGAATAGCAGTTCGGACACCTATAGAGTTTTTTTTCAAATTTATGTACTAACTGCTGCATCATTCATCATAGCTAAAACATGTTCTCTTAATAAATCACAATTATGTAAATATCAAAAAAATATCAATGAATCAATTCCAACACAAAAAATTACATTTCGCTAAAGTTATTGACAAGTGATTGTGTAGAATTGTTGTTTTGTGCTAAAATTGTGGTATATTCATGATTAGTTTTCTTTGTTGAGTGGTATCTTTAGTAGTCTGTTGAATAGGTACTTGAAAGCTGCTGTTTTTATGTTTCGGGAAAGAAATGAATTAGCTAGGATCGTGATATCTGTACATGTGGGTTTTCTGTAGATGTTGTAGGTTATATGATTGTAATGATGCAGTGTTGTTATTTTCGATTTATAAAATGAATTTAATGTTGGAAAGATTGTTGAATTTTGTATTAAAAGTATGAAGTGGTTTAGCGCTTTTTTGAAAAAAAAGTACCACTTATAGCGGGTGGTGACTTTAACAGCGCACCATAGGAATTCAAACAGTAATTTTTTTATTTTATTATTGGGTTGCCTAATTATTTTAGAGATAAAGTCTATTTAGGTTTTTTTGTAGAGAAAAAAATTACGAATCCATGCATACTATAGTTTTTAATTTTTTGATCTTTGAAACCAAGAATTTGTATAATTAAAAACTGGTGCTTTTAAGAAAATCAGTGGTGCCCTCGGTGCTGCCATGGCAGTTTGAGATCAAACAAAGCTAACTGCAACTTTCCTACGTTTTATTATCGCGGCAATTAGTAGCAGGGTCGCGCTGATAAGTATTTTTTGCCTTGTAGAAGGTGGCATCACTATATAATCTCACTTTTTATGCGTTGCAGACAAGCTCAGGTTAATACAATAAAGTTAGGTTACATGCACAGTCACAAATGTCAAACAACAACACGTGTGCGCAGTTGCGTGTAACAATTTTCATACAAAATTTAGTGTAAATGTCATACAGGGACTACATCCTGACATAATTATAAGCTAAATCTTGTATACAATTTTCATACCAAATTTATGCTGCTAAATTTCGATAAGTGTCATACGGCCTTCCAAACCTTGTCCTTATAACAAACACAATAAAAAAAGAATTACCTAATTTGGCGCAGTCATTCTGAAGTATTGCGCGTACATACATTTCGGCGATCCATTTCTATATCTGTACCCCAGAGCAAAAGTCACAAAACATAAATTTTACAGGAGAGTAAACATAAAAAAATTTATTTTGTTTGATTTTTAAATCTTTGTAGACCTGGTTAGCTTAAGATACATTAGACTTAAAAAAGTAAAATTTAAATATAGCCCAATTATAAAACATGAAAAAAAATTGAAAATAAATCGTTTTTTTGCAAAAAAAAACGACTTAATACATGTTTTTTTTAAAAAAAGGTCTGGAGTTGGACTTAATACTAAATGTTTCCTAATTTATGTATGACACAATAACAACCTATAATAATAAAAGAACACAGTAAGGCTTTAGAAAATGTTAATAGGTTTATCGTAATATCGTAAAAAAAACTTTTTTTATTTAAAAACTGTTTGATACAAAAAAACACAACTTATTATTTAGTTCAAAAGAGAAAAACCAAACAAAATAAATTATTATTCCTGGAAAAAGTACAAAAACATTTTGTCAACAACTGTAAAGCAACATAATAAAAATTTAATGCAATTTACAGCTTAACAAATTTGCAAAAAAACAATAATAATTATAATTTATAAGTTATGAAAGCATACAAAAATTAGCTGGATACCCTACTCGGAATTATCTTCCTGAATTGTTTCTTTATGAACCAGAGATTGAAAATAATGATAAAACCTTACTGGGACCCACTTTAGAAGCTTTTGAAGATCATTACACTTTTGTGTACTTATCGGGTTTAAATTATCTCGAAATAAAACCACTGATAACTCACCAATAATTAAGTCCTTTGGATAAGAATTTTATGAGTTGCAGTGGATATTGTATACTATTCGCCTTACAACTTTGATGCAGTAGTCTTTGATCTTCTTAATATTTATATTCGTCATCCGATGAAAAATTTGCGCAGACTGAACAGTGAACTCTCAGTGAAAAACCGCCTTGAAGTGTTGCCATCGTTGGAGCTGTCAAACCCTAGTTTAATAAACTTTCAACCCGAACCCATTTTTGAATTTTCCATTGCTTTGACTTTTTTATCCTCTTCTAGCCGTACCTGTCACTTCTTGTTTGTATCACAAATGGAACAAAATTTCAAATAATCGTATCCAACCGTGTAAAGAAACCCCAAAACACAGGTTGGAAGTTTCTTCATCTCTGCACTCAGAAAAATTCGTATGCAATGTTAACAAAAGCGTTTTTATTAGTAGGTGATAGTAAATTACTTTAAGGTTTATGGCAATTTTTGTGTTTGAAATAATTGCATTGTTTATTCAATAAATCAAACTCATTGGAGGTAAAGCGGTTTTATAAATTTAAACATCAGGCTTTTATAAATATAAGTTGATTGAATTATTATGCTAACGAACAAAATCATTGCGATTACTAACGTGCTGTATCGGCAACAAGAAGCCCTTTTACAATAACAAGCCCATTTTGTTAACAGAACTGTATTTTTTATCAACGTTACACCAGTCACAGTAGGATTAATAATGAATTTTGTTTCTAGTATAGCAGTAATATAACAGTTAACAAAAGTTTTTGTTACGTTGCGATAAGTTTCGTTAGGATAATAAAAACATTTGTTAATGAAACGCAAATCTCTATACAGCTACACCCATCTAAAAATGTGTTCATTATCATTAGCTACGTTGCATTTTTGCCTTTAGTGTCAGTTCATTTATAAGGATGTACGCAATAAGTCTTTACATTCGCGTTCTGTGGAAAAATAATGATTAAAAGTGAAAGTGCGTTGAAAAATAAACTAAAATTTGTGGATTTCCTCAAGTTAATGTTTATTCAATACAATATTCGCAAAGTAGAATTGCTTTTGAAGAAATGCATAGGTGAGTCATAAAATCTGTATAATTGTGAGTACCTATAAGGAATCCCTTTATTATCTTTTTCCAGATCAAAAAATTGATTTAGAGACATTACTTTTATTTAACCGAAATCACATTAAGCAGTTTTGCAAGAAAACTCCGAATATAAGTTTAAGAGACCGTATACTTTTTGAGGAAGTTGTAACTGTTGTACAGCGGTTTTGCAGAATTAGGAATATTAACGTGACAAAAGTATGATTTGTTTTTCGTGTAAAAAATCTTTTGATACCTTGTATATATTGATAAGACATTTTAAGTTACAGCATGGTTTTAAAACAAATAGCAATTATACTTGTTTAGAAGGACTTTGCTCGCAATCCTTCACAAATTTAAGTAGTTTTAAAAGACACATCCACATTAAACATGGTATTGCAACAGTGGTGGACACTCCAGACCACAAGCGTAGTATACCCCATTTCGAAAAACAAACAAATGCTGTTATCAGTCAGGCGCTTGACAATGAAAGTATTTCTTGTAGCAATACCGAGAGCAATACCAGCATCGAGGACTTAAACGAACATCAAAATCTTGAACAGTACTTGACATCCATTACCAAATTTTCCGCAAATTTCACTCTAAGCTTACACAACAAAAATAATTTTGCTAAAAAGGATGTGTTTTTTATTCAAGAAATGGTTACCGAATGCCTTTTAAAGCCCATTATAGACTTAATTAATGCAATTTTAAGCAAGAAAATTACCCATTATCCTAAGTATGATTTCGATTTGCATGAGCTGTTGGAGCGTTTAAAAAATCCTTTTCAGTTTTGTAATACCGATTACAAGTTGAATATGTGGTTATATAAAAATAATTTAGCCGGTGATGTACTGCAGTACACCATCGATAATCGTGTAATACCAACATTTAGGCAAGGAGAAGCCGTGTACGCTGAAAAAAAGGTTTGTGGAATAAAAATGCCACTAACGTTCCAAATGAAAAAAATATTTTCTGAACATAATAATTTGCAAAAAACCTTGGATTGCATAAGTAACATTAAATGTAGCAACGATAATACAATTACTAGTTTCATACAGGGAAAGCTTTGGCCCGAAAAAGTAAAGCATGTTTCAAACGATGCGGTAGCTATTCCGTATTTTTTATACGCCGATGATTTTGAAGTTAACAATCCCTTAGGAAGTCATTGCTCTCCTATAACAGCCTTATACTATTCATTTCCAATTTTTTTTAACAATTCTAAGCTGGAAAACATTTTTTTAGCCGGTCTAATTGAAAGTGCGCATGTAAAGTCTTTTGGTAATAACGAATGTTTAAAAACTCTTGTAGATGAAATCATTATCCTAGAAAGAGACGGCATTACTATCAATTTGTCAGGGAAAGATATAAAGGTGTATTTTATGTTAGGTTTAGTCCTGGGAGATAATTTAGGCTTAAATAGCCTCCTTGATTTTGCTAAATCTTTTTCAAGTAACTATTATTGCAGGTTTTGTAAAATGCACAAAAAACAGTGCCAAGTTGCGTGTAAAGAGGACCCGGCATTAATGCGAAAACCTGAGCAATATGACTTAAATTTTAAATCCTCTATTGAAAACTTGGAATACGGCGTACAACAAAAATCTATTTTCAATAATATACCATCCTTCCATGTAACAACAAATTTTGCTGTGGATATCATGCACGATTTGTTTGAAGGAATTTGCCATTACAATCTTTGTCATATTATTAATTACTACATAAATAAACTCAAAATTTTTAATTTGGAGCAACTAAATCAAAGAAAACAGCTTATAAACTACGGTCGCTACGATGTCGGTAATATTTCACAACCAATTAATGCTGTTCACTTACAAAACCAACGTCTTAAAATGTCGGCTAGCGAAATGATGACCTTTTTGCATTATTTTACATTTATAATCGGTGAATTCGTACCTCATCAAGACCCAGTTTGGGATTTTCTATTAGATTTTTTACAGATTGTTGACATTTTGCTAGCCCACAGTATTTCTGATGAAAGAATTGCCTTATTGCGGGTTTTAATTCAAAAGAACCTTTCTAGTTACGTGTCATTGTTTAAGGACACTTTGAAACCAAAGCACCACTTTTTACTCCACTACCCTATGATTATAAAAAATTCTGGACCACCGAGACAATATTGGTGTTTCAGATTTGAGTCAAAACATCGCGAACTTAAAACATATGCTCACGTTATAAATTCAAGGGTTAACTTGCCATTGTCAATAGCAAAAAAATATGAATTGAAATTTGCGCATCTTTTTTTACATTCATCAACCACAGAGCAAGTCTCCATTATATTTGATAAATCTCCGAGCAAGTCAAATTATTTGGATTTTATTTATCAAACCCTAGATAAAGATACCATTCTATGTTATTCTGAAATTTGTTACAAAGGTTTCGTTTACCGTACGGATGATTTTTTTTCCAGCTATTGCGGCAATGTAGTGTTGGAACAAATAAAAGAATTTGTGTCTGACACAAACACTAACAAAGTGTATATTATTTGTAAGGAATTAGAAGTGAACTACAATGCTCATTATGATGCTTATATGGTAATGGGTGAGAAGGATTTAAAAATTATGAATATCAACTCATTATCTGGACCACCTTTAACCTGTTGCCAGTTAGCCGATGGCAAAAGCTATGTTCGTCTTAAAGAATATTTTTCTTAATCAATTTTTTTGCTAAGGATGTTAAATATTGAAGGACACACGGCCAATACATCACAAATAGCGGACTTGGTTGATTTTATTACAAACCCCGGCTCCGTCTCAGTTTACAAAATTCAACCGCGGCTGCTATTTGCTATGTAGCGGCTTTATGACGTAGTACAATATATTTGGTTTATTGCAAAGTCCTTCTAGGTAAAGTGTAGTTTTTCTTTACATTGTTAGTAGGTATATTGTTGTATAGACGTAGGAGTAAAATAAGACTTAGTGTAACGTGTGTAGTGTTTCAAAAGTAGTTTTTAACAATGGATTCATCAGTCAGTGAAATACTTAATGACGATGAACAAAGGTACCTTTATAATAATCTAATCGGCGGTGACACTCTTCTCAGCGATTCCCTTTTGGAAAATGTTCCACCAGCTTCTTGTAGTACGGAATATGGATCAAACGAACCAAATCATAACAAGGTAATTTTAAACCTTGATGAAATTCAATCTTCTGACACTTTAGATCCTGAGGTGGACGATCTATTAAGACAATGGCAGCTGGAAAGTTTGCGACCTTGTTTTATCGGTAAGTACCTACCTAGTATTTAATGCATGGTACTCGCGGTTAATTTTCTAAAAACATTTTTATTCTAGAAAACCAAATAGATTTGACTGCATTAAAACACGCCCAGCCTCATCACATCAATGAGTTATTAAATAGTGTTCCATTGGGGCTAAGGATTAAGTTAGAACAAAATATTTCAAAGTGGAAAGAATCCCATCAAAACACAGCTGGTGCTGCACAGAAAGTAAATTTAGGCATCCAAAGAGAAGACTATGGTCATAGTACCAATGAAAAGGAACATACGTTTGGTGGTCTTTTGGATTCTGTTCCAGAAATAGTAAGTCGTATTTTGTAGTAAATAGTTTAACATATTGTTACTTCAGATTAACGTGGAAAAAATTCTTCAAAACTACGCCGAGGGAAAAACCATTTTAAAACTTATAGATGGAGGAGTAAGAGAAATACCGATGTCACAAAAACAAACAGTTGTGGACAAAATCGTTGATTATTTTATACAACAAAACCAAAAACTGAATGTATCTGCTGCTAAAACTATTAGTATCCAAATAAATAAATTATTTCCCGAAGAAACACCGGTATCTTTTATTTATTTATTTATTGTGTATTACAAAATAATTTTTAGGAATATTATTTTGCTCCCCAAACAGGGAAAGCCCCGAAAGGAAAGTTACTTTCTAAATATTATAATCAAGTGAGAAGATTGACGGATAGTGGATTGTTAGGGAAAAAAGTAAAACTACGTTCAAGTATTAAACACCGGAATATTGAAGGTATTTCGTGAATAATGTGAATAGTAACAATTTAATTAAAATGAAATATTTCAGAGCTACCAGCGGCCGAGGAAAATTGTGTAACCATCAAAGAAAAATTAAAGTACGTGCAGGAAGGAGAACGTTGGGAACAGCTGGTCGTCATGTGGAAGTCTGTTCAAAATTATAGGAGAAAAATGTTGTTAGAAAATCAAGAATCCAGTATAGTAAGCTTCCTAAACGAGTGGCCGGCTTTTAAAAGACCCTTGGGATATACACTAGTAAGACTTTTTTCAATATAAACTAATTTTATTTCGGAATAAAATTTAAAAAAAACGGGGGAGTGTTCCAAAACGTTTGGACACATCGATTCGTATTTTTAGGTGCCCATTTTTTGCAAAAAAATCTTTATACCCACTGTGTCATATAACAGTTTCCAATACCAACTGTCTTATTTTAAATGAAACACCCTTGATTGAAGAAAATACGAATCGAGGTATCTGAGTTAGTTTTCGACCCACGACCCCATTTAATATCGAATTTATTCCATTTGGCCAGTACACACTGTATATGCAGTATATAAACAAATGGTAAAAGTATCCATATAGTTTTTATCTACATAAAATTGATTTTCCACTGTTACACATTAACTAATTACACTATTAGTAACAGGTTTTGCCAGCTAATTGATCATTCTGAAAGGATAGAATTTACAACAATCCCTGTTAAGCTTTTCCTGGTCTTCAGCCGAATTTAAAGAAATATAATATGTTCTGACATAATATGTTGTCAAATGGCGAAGTATAATTTGTGTTCTATATCTTAAATAGCCACCATGTTTTGAAATTTGGCAAGCACATTTGAATTTTTTAATTAATAGCGAAAACGCGTAATTTTAGGTTGATCTGGATTTCGAATATCTTTATTCCAATGCAGAATCATTATTTACTAAATGGGAAATATTCTCGCGCAAGATTTTTGACTACCTAATGCCCATAGTAAAAGATAAAAGATGTAAATGTATTCTTCAAAAATTTGTGTTGGAACAGCATTCGGATGGTACGCTTAGCCAAGTTGCATAATCATTTGTTAATTCATGTTCTTTTAGACGAAAAGGCAATTGTGATACTATTTTTGCTACATGCAGCTTTGACACCAACCTCAAAGAAAGTTACGAAAACCGAAAATAAATCAACGGTACAAAAATTTACCATTGGTGATTCGCAAGATTCCTTTATAGTTTTTGGAAAAAGTGTGTTGGAAATTGAATCAAAACTACTGAGCAAAAAAAGCATGAACCAACCGGTACAACCATTAATAGCAGTACTACATGAAAATGAGTTTTATCAGGCGAAACAAGTAATTGTACTTTTTGATAATGTAAAGTATTACTTTGTGAATATCGTGCCCGCTTTAGATTGTTGCTTTAAGGTATTTCATGTTTTTGATTTTAAATATCCTCAAGAATCTCTAATCGTGTGGCAATTTATTCAAATATATTTTTATAATATACAAACGGCCCATGACGCCGTTATACCAAAACTTACAATGTTTCTCAAAGAACTTAACAAAGTTGTGAATTAGTTTACACAACAAATGCTTAGGAAATAAGTTACAATAACTTTGAGAAATATTACAATTACAGTAGGCTGAAAAATTTTAGTATGATGTTTTAGTATTTTGAGAATGACATTTTTATTTCCAACAGTTTTTTATCAAAACGGCACAGCCTACTTCCATTATGATTTTTCTTGATGATTAGTATAAACATTTTGTTTCGGATCAGTCACCCCTTAAAGATTATGTTTTTTAACATACATGTGTTATTTTTTAAGAAAATAAAGCCGTAAATTAGAAATGCGTTTTTTTTATTGAACAGCAATAAAACCAGAACAGTAACAATAATAGTAAAGTGTGCATTATTTTTTTCTAGTATAGGTAAATTATCCATCCAGTGGAAACTCTTTTCATATTGACGACAGCGTTTCATATACGAAGAGGTCAATATCGCATACAATATGTACATTAAAATAAGTATTAAAATAAGTATTATTTTAATGTAACAATACAGTCGATTATGATTAACGTCAAACACTATATAATAATAGTAATAATAATAACAATATAAGAAGAAGGAGAAGAAGACAACAATAATAACAATTATCAGAACAGTCATAATAATCACAATAATTATATTTAATTGTTATGACCCAGAGCTGGGCGCAATACTAAATTCTTTGCACACAACACGAGCAAATACTAAATATTAAATACTTTGAAGAGTATTCAAATCCTTTCATAAATATTTACATACTTTACAATGTATTCCAATACTTTGAAAAGTATTCGAATACTTTCAAAAATATTCAAGTACTATACGTTTCGAACATTATAAAATATTTAAATTCTTTTAATAGTATTTGAATACTTTCCTTTGAATACTTTAAAAAGTATTCGAATATTAAATATTTATAAAAGTATTTGAGTTTCAACTACAAATACTGCTTTCCTAAAAGTATTTAATTACAAAGTATTTGAATACTTTTAAAGTATTTGAATACAAAAAAGTATTTACATCATCGAACACTGCCCAGCTCTCATGACAACAAATTTAAGGCATGATGGGAACAAGACATTTTCGTTATTCTGATAAAGTTCAACATTATTAGAACAATAAACTCTATACAGCATACATTAGGAGTATTATAACTACTACAAAGTAGTAGGTTACATTTAATAAAATAATAATTACCATAACAATTATAATAATCACGGCAATAATATGTAGTTACTATGACAACAAATATAAGGCATGTTGGTAACAATACATTTTTGTTATTCTGACAAAGTTCAATATTATTAGGACAATAAACTCTATACATCATACATTAGGAGTTTTATAATTATTACTACAAAGTAGCACATTACAGGTAATAAAATTTTTGTCGGCCGTTAATGAAAATGTTGTTACTATTATGATAATGCTTTGAAAAAGTTATTAATAAAATACTTTTTGTAAGAGTAACAAAACCTTTCATCTACCAAATAGAGATAAAATTTTTGTTAAACGTATCTATTTTTTTTATTAATTTTACGTATAAATTTTTCTGAGTGTGTTGACGACTTCAACAATTTTAATGAAATTTTTAGAGGTCTCAGTCGCAGTCGCAATGTAAATATGGTTTCGTTGATGCGTCTGGAGACACGCTACACACAAAATTTATTTAATTTTCCACAGGAATCGTGTCGTGATAAGTCAGTTATTTTGTTTCGTGATTGAGAGTATATTATTGTACGGGCTAGCTCTAATTAATATAAAATCAATTGAAAAATGCATGACGAAGATGTCGTGACTCATCATGTTGAGGAAGAAAATGAGGATGAAGAGCTTCTGCCAGGAGAAACGTTTCAGAAAAGATCTGACGCGCATGTAATGTTTAAAAGAAGACCAGAAGAAGGGTACTACAATCTTCCTATGAATAGCCATTTAAAGGGGGACGGAAAAAGATTTAGAGAATTTTCCGGTTAACCCGAACAGTTTAACTTTATTTTGTCTAATACAAAACGATATTAGAAAATTTGGAAAAATTGTGTCAAATTTCCGATCACCGAAGAAGAAAAGTTAGCGTTAATGTTAAGGTATAAAGGAGTTAAAATCAAATTTTATCTTTTACGTTTAATCCTCAGTTTAATCATTTCATACATAGACGCTACTATTTAAAAAAAATTAATCAATAACAACAAAATACAAAAAACAAAAATTTAAAGGTACAAAGAAACGGAACGGCGAGAGTAAAAAAATATGTTATTTTAATTGCTCATATTGTACATGTCCTTCGTTTTCTTGAAAAGTAGATGTCGGTGTGGATACAGTAGTGAATGGCAAATTTGAATGTTGGGAGTTATAGAAATACATGAAAGAATTATTATTGGCAACAGATCTTGTTGGAGTTTTGTTTCAAGTAGTAGTTTTGTTTATTCATTAGTAGTATGATCTTTGACCGTACGTAACTTTGAAACATTTTCAACTTGTGCGACTATGCGCAAGACTTACATATCGCTTACGTATACCTACGTTACGTTAATTATAATTATAAACACCTTCGTATGTTTCTATACAGTTCAACTTTGCGAAATTTTTAAGTTTTATGTATTTCTTACGTATACGTTCATTGTAAACAAGCACTAAGTCGTGCTAGATTGATCTTAGCCTTTGCATATCAAAGTTGTATCGCATTATCTGCAGGGGTTGTTGACCATCTCCTAGGGCCATTGTATTGGACTCGTCGGCTCTCTCTAGTTTCTCATGGCTTGCATCCGGCTGCAGGAACACTTCCAAATCTTGCACGATATCCGGCTTTTGCGATAAGACGGAGCAGAATTTCAATTTCTCCTGCCAAAAAACTACAGATGTGGTGTCACAGCCACTTGGCATTCAACACTGGAGGAGAAGGAGGAATACTATGTATCCCTGTATTCTCCTCTGCCACTACTGTGAAGGTAAACATTGGTTGTCGTTAGCGGGGACCCATTTAGAATTACTACCAGGTGAACGTTTTCACCTATTATGAAAACCCGGCAAAACTCGTTGCTCTTGAAGATTGCAGTGCTCTTCTTCGTCTTCATTCATTGTGAAAATAGCCTGCCGCTCTAGTTCTGCCAGCAGCATTTGGATGACACTATGCTTGTTTCTTTCGTTGGGTAGTAGGAACTTTTCCTGTGGTGTTTTGATACGCGTGTTCTCATTGAAGAGGTTATCTCCCGTGAGTGCAGCACATCACCGTGATTATTCAACACTTTTCATGTCCTTATGGGACCTCGTGAGATTATCCGAGTAACCATCGAATACCAATAATTAAGTATAACAAAACTAAAAATTTTGTTTAAACTTGTTAATATTCATAGAGCTGTGTGAAACTAATTGGGTTACAGAGTCCTCACATAGCTCGTATTTTAGGTAATGTTCTCTACTTGAGAAATAGTAATGACACTTTTCCTCCTCAAAACACTCCTTTACTTCTTTTTTTTGCGAAAAACTGAAAAAAGTCCAAAATGTCCATTTTCACCCTGTATATCAGCTGGCTCACGTTTCTGAGGGTTGTAAATCTAGATTTATGCTATCTAGTTAGTCCGTAGCAACATATTAAAAATGAAAGTTTACAGTATTACCACTTTTGTCTGTGAGGGGGATAGGGTCTTTTGTGTGGGACAGAAAGGATTAACATTGTTGTCAGCTTTGAAGATTATGTTTATATTGTGTTTTTTGAAGATGTTTTTAAAAGAATTCGAGGCTGAACCAATAAGGGTACACAATAGAAGGGATGATTTTTTCCTGAGCGGGAGACAATTGGGTGGATTTATTGAAGTTGTGTTTGTTGTAGGTTGGAAAGAAGTTCGAGGGTAGTTAGCGTTTTCCGCAATTTGATAGATGGCTTTAAGTTCTAGGTTAAATTTCTTTGTGCTAAGCGGTAAGTGGAATAATATGTGGAAATAATAATAATACTCTTTATTTCGTCGACGATATGATAGGGGAGATGATTGTAAATTTTTAAAGGCATTACATAGCAGCTAGCGGCTGTGTAAGTTAGTCTGTGAGGAGGAATATGTACTTTCTGGGCAGCTCTTATTGGATACTCATTCAATTTTCCCCTTTGTTTGATCTTACCGCTTAACACTTTTGTATGTACATATAGTGCACAACTCATTATGTATACTGATGTTACTGTTAGAATTTTCAATTGCCTGAACATATCCTTACAATGTTTCGTATGGGGCGCAAAAGTCATTGTACGTAGTATTCGATTCTGGCAAACTAAAATTTTGGACATCCAATTGGTATTACCCCAGCATACAATACCATAACTCAATATCGAATGCACACACGGCCGTAGCCAGATACAATTACTTGAGCGGGCAAATACAATTTCAGGTAGGGCAAGTAATTTGACCGGAACTCCGTGATAGTACGTAATTTGAAGGTACGGGTAGTGGGACGACGTATCACACTCACACGAAGGTGTGGAGGATGGACTTACACCTTGAAATAGCATTCCTTACTCCAAAATGTTTATTTAAAAACAATAAAACCATAAAAAGCCAAAAAAACAGTTTTTATTTCGAAAACCAGAACAAGAAAAGAAAATAAAAGCAACAAAAATTAGAAATTAAAATCAGAATAGCTGAAACTTTCTATTTTTCCTTGCATTAAATTTTCGCAATACGTCTTCATCATTTAGTTCTTCAGTTTCGTGCTTCTCAAACGCTAAGAATACTAAATCGGCCATTCTTTGTAATCCAGTTAAATTGTATTTTTACCAGGAAAGTTGTGGGGTAGTTTTGATTTCTTTGATTCTACATGTTTTTTGGAGTGCTGAATCCGAATCTGAGGTTTGCCAACAAAATTTCTTGACGCAACATTGAAAAAAATACAAAAGAAGTTGAAAAAGATATTTTTTTGGCAGTGTTGTGCTTACAACTTGAAAACTATCAACTTTTCGAAAATAACCTTCCTATTCAAAATTAAAGTACATAAAATTTCCTACAGACCCCACTATTTAGTTTTTTTCCTCGATAAACCATTCGGGCTCAAGCGCCAGTTGAAAATTGGCGTATTTCGGCTATTCCACAAAACATAGTTTTTTCGCACTAAAACCCTAAATTAATATTAAGCGTTGTCAATAAGTGAATTCCTTGCATTTACCGACTATTATTTGAATTTCATATGTAAGGGTGGTTTTTTCTCATTTTTATAACATTCAAGGTGTTTATTGTAGTCCAGAATTGTATGAAAAGTTAATTTCTAACGAACAACACTATATCATATTATTATATTATTTATAATATATAATACTTATACTGTGCG